TATTTTTTGTATAGTAACAGTCTAATTTATATATTTTTTTGTATAGTGATAGTCTATTTAGTATATATTTTGTATAGTGATAGTATATTTTGTATATATTTTGTATAATGACAGTCTATTATATATAAATTGTGTAGGGACAGTCTATTTAGTATATATTTGTACAGTGACACTTGAAAAATTAGATCAATGGGCTAAAATGCATTGATATGGTATGTGTTTTTTACAGTACATATAAGTTAAATAATATGTAATCAGATACTCAGAAGCTCAATTATGCTTTACCACTGTTCTCTTCCAAATTCTAGGCCTCCTTATGCCCTAACTACTTGTTAGGTCGGGTTGAACGCTAGCTTACTTGCAAATTAACCCGCTATTTGTGGGTGTCCAATGGGTAGAATGGTATGCTGTTAATAAACTTGTTAACCAAGTTAAATCAATAAGGAAATTAACCCATTTGTTAGGCTCCCTTCATTACAACGTCCTCCAGTTTGCCAAGTACGCGTTTATGTTTATCACCTGTGTCCATTTCTAAATCTAAGGGTTTAATATTTGTTTTGAGTAAAATCACCCCTTAAATCGTGGTTAACTAAAAAAATATTTCTTGACCAGTACCAATTTGGCAATGATAAATCAAGCATCCCAAAAAATCACTAGAAAATTCCTTTTAGTTGGAGAAAGTATTTTCTTACCGTGAAAATCATACGCCCAAGAGATAAACGGAGCAAGAATAGTTTTGGGCCAGCCCTTGTAATTAATTTTGGGCTATTAATTGTATGATTTATTTTATGGCTACCTATTGCAATTAATTTTTCCCGGATGGTTACAAATGAAGTTTGCTTAGAAATTATCTCGTTAAGAGATAAAAGGAAAAATTTAAAATTGAATTGCTACTTAATATAAAAATGTGTAATTCTTTTTTGAACTTACGAGAAAGAAAAAAGTGTCAAATAAATTGGTATAAATAGAGTAATATTTTTAGTTTCTCGGTTATTTTTTAATTTTGATTTTCGTCCTTGTGGTATCAGATCAAGCATATTTAACCTTTAATTAATTGAAATGTGTAGTTTTGATTCCTTTGCTTGTGGATATTCATGTATTTATCATAGTTATTAACGGTTCTACCACTTAATTACTCATGTGTTATGTTAAGCTCGTATTTTTGCTCCATATTTGACAATAATATAGATTTAAAAATAATTCAGATAAAAATGTATTCACACATAAAGGGACCAAAAGTACATAGTGTAATTAATGGAAGGTTAAATATACTAAGTCGCATATCACACACGAATTAAAATTAGAATCTACGGGAATAGCTGAGGGACCAAAAGTACTATTATCCCTATATATTATTTGTAGGTAATATATAATTATTCCGATTGGTTGACTCCTTTGAATTGGCGAATGACTGTTTTGAAGTCTACATATTATAATTCAACAAACATGCCCAATGAAATCATTTGTGTGCAACGTGATAACTTTGGGGTCACTTGTCACGTGACTAAATTATGAATGACACAATTATTGCACAAATAGCCTGTTTGGCCAAGTTTTTCAAATTTCAAAAAAAGTACCTTTCTCCCAAAAAAAAATAAATTCAAATTTGAAGTGTTTGACCAAACTTTTAGGAGAAAAAAAGTACTTATGAGGAGAAGAGAAGTAGTTTTGTAAAAACAGAAAAAAATAGTTTCTTACCAGAAGCACTTTTGAGAAAAATACACTTAGAAGCACTTTTTAAAAGTTTGGCAAAACACTAATTGCTGCTTAAGAATATTTTTTAAATTAATTAGTCAAACACAAATTATTTCTCGCCAAAAGTACTTTTGAAAAAAAGTACTTCTCAAAATAAACTATTTTTTCCAGCTTGGCCAAACGGGCTATAAATCAACTCAAAAATATTTTAATATAGTGTAGTATTATCTGTTTTGTCCTTGAGTTAAGAGTCTACTGAAAACAATCTATTCATCTGCACAAATATAGGGGTAAGGCTGCATATACATTATTCTTTCTACATCCCTACTTATAAAATTTCGCTGGGCATGTTATTGTTATTGTTGTTGTAATATTATTTGCTTTGGAACAGAGCCAACCAAAAATATTTATAAGTTCTTAGAAGTCGCATTGTTCAGTTCTTAATATTCTCATTTTTCATATGGCCAATACATACAACAACAACAAAACCAGTAATTTTTTTTACAAGTGGGATACGAATAGGGGTAAGATGTACGCAGCCTTACCTCTAGCTTGGAAGGGCAAAGAGGTTATTTCTGATATATCTTCGGCTGAAAGAAGAGAAAAAAAAAAAGTGGAGGCACAAGTAGGAATAACAACAAAATTAAAAAAAAAACGAAGTCAAGAAAATAGTTAAACTATAGGTAGTAAAAGCTAATGAATAAAATGATATCATACTAACACTAATGCTAACGAACTGGGTAAAACAATGAGAAACGCTCAATTATCTACTAGCCTTCTACCCTAATCTTCGACCTACACCCCCTCCTATTAAGGGTCATGTCCTCAATCAGTTGCAGCTGCATCGTGTCCCGCCTAATAACCTCTCCCCAAGACTTCTTAGGGCTACCTCTACCCCTCCTAATACCCATTAAGGCTAACCTCTCCCACCTTCTGGTTGGGGCTTCTATACTTCTCCTCTTAACATGTACGAACCATTTCAACCTCACTTCCCCGCATATCATCCTCCACAGGGGCTACTCCCACCTTACCCCAAATAACTTCATTACTAATCTTATCCAACTTGGTATGCCCACACATTCACCTTAACGTCCTCATCTCAATTACTTTTATCTTCTGGACATGAGGATTCTTAACAGGCTAACACTCTGCTTCATACAGCATAGCGGTCTAACTATAACCTTATAAAACTTGCCTTTTAAGTAAAACTTGCCTTTTAAGTCTCAGCGACAAATACCAAATTCTAATCATATCTTTTCTCTCTTTTATCACATTTTTCCATGTCAACTTCGAAGAACAAAGTCTATTTATTAAATAAAAAAACATACTTCAACATGTTTTTTGGGATATTGATATCCAAATTGGGGCGCATTTTGTTTCATTTCATTTTGTTTGAGGTGTAAAGTGTAAGGTTGGTAAGTTGGATTAGCGCTATAGAACACCATTGACTGTTTCAACTTTGTTCCCTTCCCAACCACTTCACACCTTCATCGGCGAATTCCTTCACATTAACACCTTTAAAAATTGAATTTGTTTAGGATTCGTAACAACTAATAAAAACTTACTAAATTATATCAATTTACCATAGTTAAGTGATTTAATAAAGTAAAAACTATATATCAATTAACTATAGTTAAGCGAGAAAAGCCTATGTGTAAACAAATATCATGCATCCATGTGCGTATCCAACTCGAGGGGTATGGGTTAGCGTGAACCCATACTCCTTTCCTTAAATCATGCATAATAATGTTATATTTATTCAAAATTACTTAAATATATATATGTGCATCCATGCTCAAAGACTCTTATGGCGTAATTATTATTCGGTGTACACTTACAAGTGAAATTGACGGTTAAAATCTCACTCCGAACGGTCTTGTTTTCAGCATGAAGTATAAATATATGTGAAAATTACTAAAATTTCAAAAAGAATATAATTTTGAACTTATAATTTCAAAAGTGTAGTGGGTTCATGGTAAGAGACTAAAGTTAAACCCGTCAAATGTAAATTCAAGATGCACCTCTTTACAACAGTGCACTCATCCTCTTGAAATTCTGGATCCGCCTCTGCCTGCATCTAGTGACGGAATTAGAACTTTGAATCAAAATATAATAAGTAAACACACACAAGAAAAGAGAGATTCAACATACTTGTATACATAAAATAAAAATTTTGACCTTGCTAAACATTATATATTTTCGGCGAAGGGATGGCAATTAACACCACTTAACATAAAGTGGCTCCGCTGCTACATACATCTATTGATTTGTTGTAAATATTCTATGCGTACAATTAATAAGTAATGAAATCAGCCATAGATTTGAAATGACGGCACAATAAAAGCCCTCATTTCTTTATAGGTTCTTTTTACTTATGTATGGAATGTTTACATTAAATTATAAAATACATAATATATACTTGTATATAAATTTTTCTCACTTGACTATGATTGATTAAATGATGTAATTAATGGAGATGTTTTTCACTTGATTAGTCCAAAACGAAGATGCTTTTCACTTAATTGGTAAATGCGAGTGAATATTAAAAGAAGATATGAACAAATGAGATATATATGTTGTGCACCACCAAAGTTTAAAGGTTAGAGATATTTCAGAATAAGAATTTTAACACGAGTTATTATATATTTTTAATCGATCTTTCCCTTAAATTATCTAGGTACCCAACCTTTTTCCAAATTAGATATTACATTACGTTGAAGATACTACGCTGGCGTTTAGACTCATATAACATTATTATGCATAATGTTACATTACGTTGAAGATACTACGCTGGCGTTGAAAGTTGAAGTTGTTGTTTGATCATGTATTTTATTTGAAAAAAAGTTAAAAGTTATATGAGTCAACGAAATATTTTCACTCAAAACTATCCTAAACATGATCATATTTCATAAACAAATAATATTTTTAATTTTTTTTTTAAAAAAAATAGCCAAAATCTATTTCAAAATGGTTTTTACTCCTCTATTTACTGCCTTTTGCTTTGTGTAAAACATAGTAGATCAGATGATCCTTCCACGTCATCGATCCAGAAATCTCTTCTTAGATCAATCTAAACCGTCCGATTGAAAAAGAAGCACAATACGTACCACGTCATCGATCCGCTACTCGCACCCCCTTCAAATCAACCGGAACCGTTGATTAAACACCATCCTCATTCAAATCCAACGCCCACGATCACCTCCCTATCTTCCACGTCATCGATCCGCGACACTTACATTTCCAACAGATCAAAGGCCTCCCTCCCGCTCAAAATTTTCAATCCCCCTCTTATAAATTCTCTCCCGCTACCTACTCAAATTCCACACTCAATCTGTAATCCAAAATCTCAAAGCAGAAAACCCTAAATTCCCCAAATTCTCTGAATTCTCGAAATGGCTCGTACCAAGCAAACTGCACGTAAGTCAACTGGTGGCAAAGCACCAAGGAAGCAGTTAGCTACAAAAGCTGCTCGGAAATCGGCTCCGGCGACCGGAGGAGTGAAGAAGCCACACAGATTCAGGCCCGGAACTGTTGCACTTCGTGAAATTAGAAAGTACCAGAAATCGACTGAGCTCCTAATCCGAAAACTTCCATTTCAGCGTTTGGTTCGTGAGATAGCTCAGGATTTTAAGACCGATCTGAGGTTCCAGAGCTCTGCTGTTGCGGCGCTTCAAGAGGCGGCTGAAGCTTATCTTGTTGGTTTGTTCGAGGATACTAACCTTTGTGCTATCCACGCTAAGAGAGTTACCATTATGCCAAAAGACATTCAGCTTGCCAGAAGAATTAGGGGTGAGAGAGCTTAAATTGGGATTGCTCTGGTGGGTTTTTGTTAGTTTTTGGGTATATAGTGGGTTGTTTGTTTAGGGTTTTGAGCCTTTTGTGTTTTGGTGTAGAACTTTCTCAGTTCTGGCTATGTAGTTGAATCAAGTGCATTTTAATGAAATCTCAGTACTATTTTATTCAAATTATATCTCTCTTTCTCCCTCTCCCCCGTCTCCCCCTCTCTCGTTTATACAATGCCTTTTCAACTTTATCTCTCTCGTTTTCACATTGCTTTTTCAATTTTATCTCTATATCTCTCTCGTTTATACATTGCCTCTTTTCAACTCTCTCTCTCTCTCTCGTTTATACATTGCTAATTTCAATTATATATATTTCTCTCTCTCGTTTATACATTGCCCTTTTCAATTTTATATATTTCTCTCTCGTTTATACATTGCCCTTTTCAATTTTATATATCTCGTTTATACATTGCCTTTTTCAATTTTATATATTTCTCTCGTTTATACATTGCCCTTTTCAATTTTATATATTTCTCTCGTTTATACATTGCCCTTTTCAATTGTGTGTATATATATACCGTGTTTTTTCAATTTTATCCCCCCCTTCTGTGTGTATCTTATAAGTTAGCGTAATGAAACAATAATTAATTCGAGCCCACTGAATTCACAGTGTTTCCTTAAGGAATTTAATCCCCTCCTAGTACCCAAGGTAATGGATTATTTCCTCCCAGGATAGAACGAATCATACATTAGTGTAGCGGTACTTCAAACCCCAGTGTTTCAGCGAACACAAAGTTCGGTAGCATATCACACTTACAATTGCTTTATTTGAAGTTAAAACAATGCAGAACGAAGGAGTTGAAACTCAGAAAATCGTATGAAAATGCTGAGAGGAAGGAGTGCAATGTATAGCCAAATTTGTTGAGCGATTTCAGGATTTCAGTTTGTGTGTTGAGTGTCTTTCTTCAACATCTGCTGCACATATATATAGCAGCCAGTGTTGAAGAAGACCAAACGTCCACCCTCCATGGTGGAGCAAGCATTAGCTTGTTTGTGGAGCAAGCACATTCATGTTTGTGGAGCAAGCACATTCATGGTGG